TTATTTTTTAATATAAATTTATAAAAAAAAATATACATGTAAACACATATTAAAAAAATTCTTTTATTGTTTGCACACAAATTGGCAGGCGTCTGCCCTCAATACGCATATATATATTTTTTACCTTTACCCCAAAAATCAACGCTTTTTTAAGTAGGGAGAAGAAGAAGAAAAGGAAAAATGAGGGAAAGGAAAGACCCAAAAACTCTCCTTTTTTCTTCTCTCTGGGTTTTGTCTTCTTCTTCTTCATGGGTTTGGGTTGTTCTATGTGTATACCCTCAAAAAATGTAGCAAGAATTGCAAAAGCTAGTTTTCTAACTCAAAACTCTCTTTATTTTTTATTTTTATCTCTTCCATGCGAAATAATTTATCATTACCCATTTACACATCAACCCTATCCTCTTTCCAAAAAGGTTACATAGAAAAACGAAACATTATTTTGTTTCATAAATCATCGTCCTTTTCTCGTCTCTGTCAGAGGGGAAGGACGAAAAAAGGCCTACAACCACAGGAGAAATCACAGTTTTAAGGAGGAAAGGAAAAGGAAGTTGTAAAGTAAAAAATAAAATAAAATTTTTGGAGAATGAATGGTCTCTCACATCTTCAACAAGATTGCTCTGAGTTTGTTGAAGTTGATCCCACCGGAAGATATGGCAGAGTACGTTCATACCCATCTCTCTCTTTTTTCTCTCTATCTCTGCTCTCGAGCTATGAATATTTTTTTTTTTTTTTTTTTTTTTTGCAGTACAATGAAATCCTTGGCAAAGGAGCTTCAAAGACAGTGTATGGATACCCATTTCGCAGCTCTTCAATATTTGTTCATTTTTTATGTTTATCATTTGTTTGAGATGTTTGTGGACAGATTCAGATTTTTGGGAGTTTGGATTTCAATTGTGTGTTTTATTGAGATCTTGCAAATGGTTAGGTGCTTGATTTGGCGTTTTTGATTTTGAGCAGTTACAGGGCATTTGATGAGTATAACGGGATTGAAGTTGCTTGGAACCAGGTGAAGCTTTATGATTTCTTGCAGAGTCCTGAAGATCTTGAGCGGCTCTACTCTGAGATCCATCTTCTCAAGACATTGAAACACAGGAACATCATGAAGTTCTATACATCCTGGGTTGATACTGCAAATAGGAATATCAATTTTGTTACTGAAATGTTTACTTCTGGGTCTCTAAGACAGTAAGAACTCTTGATCTCATGACAGATGATGTTTCATTTCTTGATTTCTTGTTAATTTAGCTTTCTGGGTCATTTAGATGTTTGACCTTTATGCATGTGTTTTTCTTTTGCTTTCTGGGTATTATAGGTATAGGCTGAAGCACAGGAGAGTCAACATTAGAGCAGTGAAGCATTGGTGTAGGCAGATCTTGAAAGGACTTCTCTATCTCCATTGCCATGATCCTCCAGTGATCCACAGAGATCTCAAGTGTGATAATATTTTTGTTAATGGGAACCAAGGAGAAGTAAAGATCGGAGATCTTGGTCTCGCTGCAATCCTCCGGAAATCACATGCTGCTCACTGTGTTGGTAAGTTGACTGGTCATTATGCCTAGTCATGTAGATTGATTCTTTCATACTTTCTATATGATATCTTGTTAGACATGACATATCCAATATGAAATCTCATTGATTTAAGTTTTTGGGTAGTTGCTAGAATGATTTGATCAAGGGTTGTTTAGATCAAAGTTCATGTCTCTTTGGGGCTCTACTCTCCTTTTTGCAGGGACTCCGGAGTTCATGGCTCCAGAAGTGTATGCAGAAGATTATAATCAATTAGTTGACATTTATTCTTTTGGGATGTGCATCTTAGAAATGGTTACCTTTGAATATCCATATAGTGAATGCAGTCATCCTGCTCAAATCTACAAAAAAGTTATCTCAGTAAGAGCAGATTCTCTCTTTCAATTGACATGCCTTTTTTGCTTTATCATATTTGGTAAAATATTTGGATTCTGTCAACATTCTTTATTTAGGGTAGAAAACCGGATGCTTTATATAAAGTGAGGGATCCTGAAGTTCGACAATTTGTGGAGAAATGCTTGGCAACTGCGTCCTCGAGACTCTCAGCAAGACAGTTGTTGAATGACCCTTTTCTTCAGATTGATGATTATGAATCTGATTATGGAAGAGAACTTGAAGAAATAGATCTTATAATAAGGCAACCTTACCTTGAACTTCATCGAAGTATTAGTTCTTACAATAATGGATACTCAAATGATTATGATTATGGTTATGAGACCCCGAATGAATGGGGGTATCATCTTCCTGAAATGGAACCAAATGGAATTGAGCTCTTCGAGTGTCAGGATGATGAACATTCCACAAGTCTTGACATAAGCATCAAAGGGAAGAAACAAAATGATGGCAGTATCTTTTTAAGACTCCGGATAGCTGATAAGGAAGGTCAGGGACTTATTTCATGTTTCCTGTAACTTTTTCCTTTTGCAATTGAGAACTAGTACTGAACTATTCTTTTTTTGCAGGTCATGTTAGAAACATATATTTTCCATTTGACATTGAGACCGATACAGCATTAAGTGTTGCAACTGAAATGGTTGCAGAACTAGATATCACTGACCAAGATGTGACTAAAATAGCAGATATGATTGATGGGGAGATTGCCTCTCTAGTACCTGAGTGGAGGCCAGGTCCAGGAATAGAGGAAACACCCCGATTTGTGAATCAAAACTTCTGTCACAATTGTGCTTCCACTCGTACATCCAATGGTTCCCTTACAGAATATCTGTTGCATAACTCAGATATCAAGGACTTGCAACTTCAATGTTGTAGAAATGGATGTGCTTCAATGCATGGCCGGTTTGAAGAGATAACATTTCAGGTTGATGAATCTAAGCATCTTGGGACAGATAGTGCACCAAATACATCAAACCAACCTGATTACTTGCCTTTTCACGAAATTTGGGGTCAGCATGAAAGCCGTGAACTTACTCCAATAGGCTCTGGACATAATAGCCACTCTGATGAGGAGGATGAAAGATTTGATCAATCCTTCCCAGCCAAGGATGAGAAGGGGATAGAAAAGGAAAACAAACTCACATCCATTGCAAGAAATTCAATCCAGCAGTTGACAATATCTCGTTCTTCCTCTGTTTCTCCTCCAGTGTATTATGATCTCTCAGACAATCATGAGCAAGAAATCCAGCAGGAACTGAGATGGCTCAAAGCAAAGTACCAAATGGAACTAAGGGAATTGCGAGATCAACAATTAGGACTTATTTCAAAACCAACTTCTTTTGACAGAGGACAGAAAAGTGATGGGGTTTTGTCATCCTCGGTATCCAACACATCACACGGAGACAATGAAATTCACCTAAGATCTGTTGCCTATGACAAACATTTTACTTCCAGTTTCCATGACTGCAACAATAAGAGCTGCCCGGATTCAGTATACCAGAGGGCCTGGTATTGCGAGGCATCAGAGTCTCCAAGAGCAGGGGATATGGTCACTCCCAATAGTTCATACACTGGGTCATCTCTTCCACACCCTCTTCACAGGACGACGTCCCTCCCTGTGGATGCTGTTGATGTATAATAACTATTCAAGGTACTTAAAATTCTTTTGAACATTTTGTACCCTTATAGAGGCTGTATAATTATGAAATCCACCCTCTACCAGTGGGGGAGGGTACCCCTCCCACTCCTTTGACAAGCAACTAAATTCTCAAAAAGAGGTAGTAGAATTTGAATCCAAAACTTTTCAGAATCTCAATTTGCCCTTAGATGACGTATCCAGCTAAAAAGACCATCATGAGCAAGGATGGTATGCTTGAGCCATGCAGATCTGAGTACTACTGAATGGATTCTATTTACATCAATCACTTACATTAAACTTGCCAAAACTATGCATATGAAGACAGCCTGCATCGGTCGGGTACCATCATTGATATTTACTAATAAAGTTTAGTGTTTTTGTAGTTTAAATTATATTAAATTAAAAAGCATCGAGTATTTAGAAAGACTTGTCCTTAAAATTAGAGAATTTTTATTATTCGATAATATTTTACCATTTGAATTGAGGTTTTTTAAAAATTGTATAGTAAAAAGTTATTTAAAATAATCATTAAATCATATTAAAATCTCTAAATTTGAAGTTTTATAATCTTGTCCTAGAAAACAAAAGAACTTCCAAAAAAAATTCAAAGTACTGAAGCACTTGAAATATCAAATTATTAATGGTCAATCATGCCCAACTCAGCATGAAGGAAAATTTACATGCAACTTTGAGCTGGCCAATGAGAAATTTTAATCTAATGATTGTAGACCCCATAAAAGTCAATCATAGAGGATTTTTCAAAAGAGAAGTAAACCTATGGGCCCATGCATGGCATGGTGATATGGTGATGACCCTGAATGATCTACTTTTGAAATCCAAAAGCAAGTTGGTCCACATTATGATCTCATTTGAGTCTGACTATGATGTTTTCTTTTAATTATAAATTATACAAATCCAATAGTCCCATTCCCACCAACCCTTTGGGTATGCAAATGTAGCATTGTACATATAAGTACATTGTAAGTACTGTTTGTTCGGATCAAATTAAAAACAAGAAAGGGAAAAAATAATGTTATGCCACTTTCAGAGATAAAGTGGAGGCCAACCAAAGTAAAGGGATCTATATAAGATTTTGCCAGGCCTTACTTTTAAAAAATAAGTCTAATACAAAAGGTGGGAATGCTGTCACTATCCAATTTGTGAACCCCCAATCAATAGCATTACTTTTCTTGTAATTATCAAGTTCTGTAAAGAAAATTAAAGAAACAAAGTGTGGAACACGAAAGATTAAAATATGTTTAATGTTGTCCACATAGAACATATTGGGATATTGGTGTTCAACACTTTTATAAAACTACTTTAAAAATTTAATCTGCAAGCAAACAATATTGATTGGTAAATTTAAAAACATACTTACTTTTGAAAGATTTTATGTTTAAATATGATATTTCTTCAAATTTCCTTTTCAAAATTCTTTTAGGTGTGGTAGGTTGGATTGAACACTAAACACACAATAACAGCCATGACTGCAGCTGGTGCCAGCAATTCAAACAATAATAATGTGTTGATGATGAGAAAGTAGCTTTCCCTTCAATAGCAAATAAAGAGTGGAATAATTGAATAAGGGCAGAAAGGGTATCTCATTTATCATTAAAAATATTGAAAAAATAAAAAATAAAAAAAAGGGCCATGTTAATTAAAGTGGTCTACTTTTTTTTATATATAAAAAGGAAGAAGAGCATGCTTTTGTTGAATAGACCACCACTATCATAATGTTGAATTCAAATAGTAAGGTTGGCATGAAAAGCAATGTTTCCCCTAGTTTCATTTTCTATCAAAACTTATTCTGAATTTCTCTGAAATTTTGTGATTTTTAGGAAATAAGCAAAAATCACAAAGAATATTATACTAACCCAATTCTAGACCCCTTGAAAAGCTAAATAGAATGAGCGATATGTTTCGAGTCAAAAACAAATAATAAATCCTTGATCTAGTAGTAAAGAAAGGGTTAAAAGGAGACCCAAGGACGACAGGCAAAAAAAAAACAGTGGACGTAAGTTAAGAGTAGGATCCAAACCGCAACTGGAAACTTCTGCCATGGCCCATACATGAGAGAGAAAAAGTTGAAGGTAAAACAAAGACACATGACCTTATCTCTCAATGACTTGCCGTACTGCAAGAGAGCGGTAAACGTTGGGCATGAGTCCACAATGTGATAAAGAAAAAGACTCTTTTTAAAGTTCAGTCAACTTGTTTGTCGCTGTCAAATCTAACCAAACATAGCCTCCGAGCCACACCGTTCACATTTTACACGTAGGTTAGAATGCATCTTCACCACAGGACTCTCTCAAATATCCGAGCCTCGGGTCCCCAACCTCTTAAAGAATGTAAACAAATACCATACATTCATGCACCAAGTTACATCAGAATTGAGAAGAGTGCAGGAAATACGGAATGGTGTGGAGAAGTGCATTAGAACATTGCAATGACTTCAAAGCTAACAATTAGAATGAGAGGTATTCACTCTTTAAGCTTCCAATATCTTGTTCAAAACTCAAAAGTGCTATATATAGAAACATCGGTATTGATTTGGAAGATTGATCAATTTAATTGATTATCATGCATCCTTGAACTCCTACATGCCTTCAAAGTCACAAAACTACATTTGGTAAAGCAGACCAATTAATCTTGGACAAAGTGAAATTTATGTATACTAAAATAAACTTATTTTGTAATCTGTACAGATGATACGAGAGAGAATTTGTTTTCTATTTGTATGGTCTTCTCTTCTTTATATACCATTCCCCCTTTTCTCCCTTCGTTCATGGGTTAAGACAGCCTGCGGGTTTGGGTGGGGTGATGTAGCACATTTGAAGCATCACAGTAAAAACACCAGTTGAACTTTGAGCTGACTACCCAATTAGTGAGATGCGTGTTCCCTGTCATAAGAGTTAGGTTTGGATCCCCACTCTTTCAATAACAAAAGAAAACCTGGGGATACTGCACTGTCACATGCTCTATTGAGTTCTTGCATGTTTAGGAAAGCATACTTGGAACCAACAACACAGAATTTAGATTAAAATCATTATTGATGGGTCGTTCTTGGAAACTCAAAAGAACTGGTTAAGGTGCAGAAGTGAAATCACGAGGGAAATTGGCCTTCTGGCTTTCCCAAGCAAATATTGTCTTTTGCAAAAACAAAGGACAAATTTGAGCAGCTAATTTGGGAGTTAATTAAAATCCAATCAGTCATCCAATCAGTCATCATCAAAATGGACCCTATGGCAGCTTAATACTTAAATTGCAAGGTGATAATGACCAAGAATTATCTTTAACAACTATATTATAACTGAATGCATGCAGGAAAGATACCAAATACCAAAGATGTATAAAGCAGCTCAATTCTTAACTCTCATGGGAAGATAGGATGTACCTGTTACAAATTTTGTTAAAATATCAATTGTCCCTCAACTTTTAGATTTGTATTAAAATTATCCTTAAATTTAAAAAAAATACCAAAATCATCTCTAAACTTTAATTTTTATCTTTCCACAAAATCAATTTTTCTTTAAAATGCTAATGACGTGTAAAATCAAATAATCATATTTTGTTACTATAATATATTTCTATCTACATATTAGATTGACATAAAATCAAAATTGAAACATCAAATTGGTACTTGTAATCAAAGTTTAAGGACTAACTTGATTCTTGTTCTTAAAGTCCAGGGACTAACTTGGTTTTGATGTCTTAGAACTATTTTGATATTGAAAATTATATTTCAAGAATAATTTTGATACTTTTTAAAATTTAAAGACAATTTTAATACAAATTAAAAAGTGAAGGGACAAAATTAGTATTTTAACCTATAAATTTTTACAAAGCCTTCTAGAGTGGGTAATCATTAAGTAGTTTTCCCCCCGAATAGCGTGTCCAAAATACCTCAACTGCCCGCTTGATAATTGAAGAAGAAAAATTAGCGTTGAAATCAGTAACTTTGAAAACATTAGGGCAATATTTCAACGCTTATCATTATGTTGCTTGTTGGGATGGAAGCAAGCTTTTGTAACGCTTTCTTAAAGTCTTCGCTTCCATCCATTGATTTGGGGCAAATGATACACTCCTCCAGCAGCAACCTGCAGCATTAATGTTACCTGAAATTTGAGAATTTAATAAAATTAAGGGAAGGAGGTGAGTTTGCGGTAGAGAAAAATTTATAATATATTTGATTTGAAGGGAGGGGAGGGGAGGGGAGAGGTTGGGTTGGGAAAATTTTACTTTTTATTTTTTATTTTTTAATTTAGTTATTTATTCAAATGAAAAGAATGGAGGGAAGGGGAGGGAAAAAAAATATCAAACCGTAAGCTTAAAGTCAATTCTAACTCCTTAAAATATCAAATTTTGAAACTTAGAATCCATATGAACAGGGGCGGAGGCAGAAATTTTCTTCAAGGAGGCAAGATGCTAAAATTTTCAAAGTTTAAGGGGGGTTAGATAATTTTTCATATACTAATTATATACTAATTTGCAAGATTTTCAAATCTCATGGGGGCGAGCGCCTCCCCTCGCACCTCCCTGGCTCCGCCACTGCATATGAATGTTTATATCATATGTGTCCTAAATTCTAAACTAGGAAACCTTAGTATGTGATAGATAATATCATATGAAGGCATGAGCTTTTACAACTTAAATTGGATAAGAATAATGAATTAATGCTAATGGTTTAAGTAGGTTAGTGATAATCTCCTTCTTTTGAAAATAACATACGATTGAGGTAGATTGAGAGATGGGAGAGAATTGTTTCATATTGTGCAATTCAAAATCAAAAAGAATAATAATAATAATAACAACGAATTAACAAGAACATGACATTCCTAACCATCCTAAATTACCATAACAGTTTGACAAGTAAAGATTGAGCAGTACAGTCCAAGGATTAAATAAGGAAATGCTCATTATTAATCCCAAAAGTATTTCTATCAATGACAATATAGGCTTCAGTTTTCACCACAAATATCATAAAGGAAACTCCTCTCCCCTTCCTTTTGCTCTGTTTAATTCTTCATTAAAACTTTGGTTTCAATAAACTTAGGGCCTGTTTGGCAGCTTGTTAGAGCTTTTGCTTTTTTTGTACTGTTCAGAAGTGATAAGTTTAAATTTTTAATGGAGAAAAAATTTTAAAGTTGTTTTTCAATATAGGAAAAAATGAGTAAAAAAGAAATTTACGAAAAACTTGAATTTGAAGCTTTTGATTTTTTACTATTTAGAGTTTTTTTAAAATTAAAAAAAAAAAAAAAAAAAAACTAAACTAACTTGGGAATACTAAGAAGGCTTGAGTTTTGGGTCTATATATCTTACTTGGGCCTTAAGGGGTATTGATTTTGGGTACACCTTTTGAGTATTGGCCTAAAAAAATTTAACTTCGGAAAGGTAGGAAAGATTGGGTTTTTTTCTTTTTCTTTTTCTTTTTCTTTTTCTTTTTCTTTTTCTTTTTTTTTCTATCTTGCTTGAAATTAGGAGGAATTGATATTGGCTTTTTTTTTAAAAAAAAAAAATTTAGCTAGTGGTGTTAATTTTGTAATTAGTTAAAGATTATCAACTTTCATTAATGGCTAATAGAAATATTTTTCCTTTACACATTCAAGGGTAAAAAATTAATTTTAAGAAGTCAACTCAACAAGTTTTGACTGAAAATTAATTTGAGAAAAAGGTGTCTTGTGGAACAGCTTGGTGACTGCGTCAACATATCACCTAGGCAGGAAAGGGAATGTGAACGCACTGAAACGCAGGCTCTTGTTGATTCTTATTTTTAACAAAATGAAAATATATTGCCATATTGGTTCATACCCAAGAGGAACAAAAAGGAAACATTGGGTTATTTCGTTGTCAAGCTCCATTGGGCTCTATGCTGGCTTAGGAGAGCATAATTGGATCCCATGTCCAGAAACTGTATTAAATTCAATACTGATGGGCTGTTCTTGGAACTCTAAAAATTGGCCTAGAACTGCCCATTCCAATTCCAAGCATGGTTAAGCTTTTGCCAAAAAACAAAACAATGAAAAAGTATAAAAAATAACAATTTCTTAAATATATTTAGGCAAAGTAGACAGATAACAGGTGGTAATTGTCATTATTAATATTATTAAAGTCACTATTAATATTATTAAAATCACTAAAATTTTAGTGTTTTTTTGTTAAATAACATCTGAATTAAAATATTAATTTATTAACTGATTTTAATTTGTTTAACTATAACAAATATCAATTGTTATATTAATAATATTACTATTGGTAGATATAATTGTGCGTAGATCAATAAGCCATGGTTATGGTCACATAAACTTTTTTTAGGGTCACATACGTACGTATATAATAAATTTATTTCATTTAATTGATTTTACTAATTTATAATTAGTTAATATGTTTGAAAATACTAATATAAAAGCTAATTTCAAACTATTAGTAATAAACAAACTATTTTATAAACTATTAGTTAACCATTAAAACTATCAATTTGTCTTGACAATCAAAACAAACATTAATTTCTAAATTTTTGTGTGTAACTAGCAATTATTAGTGTTGCCATAATTTTCATGGGAAGACAGACCTAGTTACAAACTAAATTTTTTAAAAAGCCTTCAAGAGTGGGTAATCTTCATGTAGTTCACGCTCTGATAATGTGTCATTTTCTTCTTGAGGAGTCCACAAGACCTCAACAGCCTGCATGACAACCAAAGAGACATATATATATCAGCATTGAAATAAAGTAACTTCCAAAGTCATAATTAAGGCGATATTTCCTTACCATTAGTTTTCTTGCTTGGATGGAACCAAGCTTTTTTAAAGCTTCCTTTAAGTCTCCAATTCCATTGATGGCGAGCATTTCATGCACTCCTTCGGTAGCCACCAGGATTGTTACCTAAAATTTGATAATTTACATAAATTAAAGGAAGGAAAAGAGTTACCGAAAGGCTCAAGTCATATGAAAACTTTGTTAAAAGATTTTTTTTTTAGTATATTAGATAATAAACTATGTATAATAAAAAATAATTCTTATTTTTCCTTAATTTCTCCTCATCAGTCTCAAAGTTTGAATTTGAAAACATTAACTTACAGTGTTAAATTCTTAATCACTTAAGACACTTTTTAATGGAAAAACCTTGGTAAGAGATGATGTCACGTAAACACATAACTTTACAACTTAGACTGGATAGGAATAATGAATGTACAACAACATATTGACATTGCCAACCATCCTAAAGTACTGTAAACAGCTTGACAATTAAAGATTTAGCAGTCCAATCCAAGGATTAAATATGGAAATGCACATTAATCCCAAAATTTTTCCATCAATGACAATATTTATAGAACAGGACGTCTGGGATGAGACTTACCACAATGTACTGATTCTTAGATTCACTAGCTTTCTCATTTGTGCTTCGCCTTTTTATATTGTCCACATTAACAAGTGTCTCTTCATCAAATTTAGCCCGTTCTTCTATAGAGAGTTTATTAAAGCATTTCTCTCCTTCATCTACACTCCACTTCACATCTGCCTGCAGAAAAAATCACATGCACATCCATGCATCAAGTAAGCATTATATTTAACTAAACAGCTAATTAGCAAAGTTCAAAACTACAAAAACATTAAAAAGATGTTGGTGCACGTCAAATTTAACATTTTTCAGGAAAATTACTACACTAATTGCACCAAGTTTTCATATATATACCAAAACTTTGAAAAAAAATGGAAAAGGTATTCATATACCACAAAAACACAACTAGGACCAACCAGTTCACTGAGAGACTAGAGAAGAAAAGCGAAAATTCAGATGATTAATTTACCGATGATAAACCGGAGAAGCAGTAATCAGGATTGCGAAGCAAAGCTAACGTTGTCTCTGAAAGAACAAGTAATAAGGCATGAAAGATTTTTCTTGGTGCAAGCACAAGATGAGAGTGATAAAGAATACTGATGTATTATAAAAAACTGATGATAGGTTCATTGATTCGTAAATTGCAATAATTAAATCATTTACAATTAGTTGAATCAAAGGAAGAAATGAGTTAAACAATATCAATATGCAGCTCAATTGAACTGAGAACTCAACAGTCAGATCAAATTAGAAGCGTCCAATGAGTTGAAAATTTGCAATGTGATCTTGCAGATTGGCATCAACAATCACGTTGAATAATTATCTTTAAGGCGTGGTACATTTTTTGTAAGCTAGATGACATGATTCGAGGGGACATATAGTTAAACAAGACACCATGAAGAACAGTAAGGTATACCAATCTCCAAGTTATAATAAGCTCAGATGAATATATACATATATATATATATGTGTGTGTATGTATATGAGAACAAAGAAAGCTGCTAATAATTGATAACAAAAGGGAAATAGTAATTTGATTTTCACATCTTTACCTTTATTAAAGCATGTACAATGGAAAATAATAAAAAGGTTTCTTTTTTCTTTTTATAGTAGGGAATTTAGGAGAAGGGACATCTGAGTATAGAACCCAAGTTTTAGATGTCTAAACACTTTTTTTATTGGGGTAATCAATAAGCCACTACATATAGGACAATAAAAAAATTTATTTTAGTGTCACATTATTACAATTAATATTCATATTTTATAAAAATTTATATTTTTATATATTAACTATCAAACAAAACATTTAACAGAATTATCCATCTCCAATTACATATATACACTTAGAAAAATGATGTGCACATCCTTAATTCAACGCCCTCAAATAAACAAAACTTTCTTAAAAGTTATACCAAATTTATTTTATTTTACATAAAAAATAATATAAATAT